GACACAGAACTAAACAGTTTCATCAAACAATACCTGAAACACGATGTATAACATCAGTCCTATAGCGCCATCTACAGTACTGTGTATAGATAACAGAGTGAATGGGCTTCGCCACCTGGTGTTTTCTTAGCCATTGTGTATGCATGAAGATCTTAACAGCATATTGCTTTAACATTTGTATGCTGAAGTGTACAGTCATATCCAACATCATCTGACACATCATCTTCAGAATACCTGTATTTTATATGGCATAATCTGAATTAAAGATGTACAGCAACCTTGCACATATTCCAGTGGAATGTATCTCTAGGGTTAAGTTTTAAGGCCTATTGGCTTAATGTGAGAAGTGACATTTATTTGGCTTACTAGGAAGTGGAACATTGCCAATATCAAATATAATGGGCTCTTTTGTTCCCATCATACTTGTGGATATAGTTTTGATGAAGGATAATTTATGTGATGGTTTCATGACGTGTTTGCTGCACTGCCAACTTGTGTATCTGGTGAACATGGCCTTTGACCTACTTTCAACCATGAACTGCATTCTTGCAAATTTGCAATTTTCTTGCCCTTATTTATTTTAGAGGTATCAGGTACGGATAGTTTTTTCAAGAAACATTTCACTGTAGGAAGTAGGTCAAGGGTAGATTTCAAGGTCACATTTGGATGTGCATGACTTTGTACTTATCACATAATTAACGAGAATAACAAATACTTGTACCTGTTTGTGCTGGGAACATTTTATTTATTTTAAAATCTTGTCATGCATAATTTGTTGTGGCACTACAATATGTGAATTACATTGTGCTTTTAACGAGACTTTGTTAACTAAAGGTGCTTAATGCTTATTTATTGTACATATGTAGGCACCTTCTTGTGGGGTATTGTAACTGACGTGAAATAAATCTTGCAAAGTTTTCTAGGAGTTAAGTGTATAGTATGAACAACTGCTTAAAAATATCAATATGGACAATTTGATTTTATTTCTTGATAAAACCATTTGGTAAAACTTGTCAGCCATGCTAAGAAGCACAAAGTAGAGCTTGGAGGATTGGAGGAAGTTTTGTTCCCATTGGATTGAATGTAAAATTTTGTTTTGTAACATTTTTCATGCAAAGAAATATACCGTAGTCACAGTTTTAGTATTGATAATTCTGAAGTGAATATTGCTCTTCAAAGATGGCTTTTGCTCTATATTGTCTAGGCATACTGAGTACAGAAGTGAATTTTTAATATTATTATTATTATTATTCTCATTACATCTCATTAAATATTGAAGTTATGAATGGCCACATAGTGCAGTGCCAATATAATTGTGACCATTAAAAAATTATGACTGTAATTTGGTATCCCTGCTCTTGGTACCCCCCTCCCCATCACAAATCACAGAATTGATAGCTGACACAAAGTGTACACAACTGATAGAGAAGGCTGTTGGTTTTTCGCTCATCAAATGACACCAGGCTCCCTTAGAAAGTAGTTGGTATTCTGAAATAATGAATTGCAGCAGAAGAACCATGAGTTGTTAGAAGCATGTCACTTGTATGCTCTTACCAATGCATGTTCAGTTACAAATTAATCTTCTGAACTGGTTGGCAAGATTTTGTTGATTCTATTTGTAACTCACTATAATGTGCACATTATTGTAATTATAATTATTATTATCATTAGTATTTTGTTAAACTAATAAAATGTTTTTATACACTATTTCTGTTGATGGTCTCACTGCACAGCAATAGCTGTATGCAAAAGAAATGTGAATACTGTGGAGTTACTGGGAGTTATTGGACAGAAGTGCATGGATTGCAGCTATATGATTTATAGATTCTGCAGGTCTTTATGTATATGTGCCGTTGTCAATTGAGTCCAACAGATGCCCCAATTAGATGAGCCTTTTGATTTGTACTATAATCTGACAAAAGTGGGCCTTGGTAAACTCAGTAAACAAAAGAATACAGTAGAACCTAGAACAGGGATTTAAAGGCATGTTAAAATGTACTGAAACTTTCAAGCAATATCAGTACAGCTTTTAAAATTTTATTATTATTATTTTTTTAAGGGTGGGGGCGTAAGATGCTGGTCTTAATTACCTGAATGAGTCCAAAATGACAACAAAAAAGCCATTATTAAAAAAAACTTTCTTTAATTTATTTTGACTTTTGCTTTTTGAGCAACAATTTTAACAAATCATCACAAATTTCTAACTAATGCCAAGCTACGATGAAAGTGTAGTAAATATTTATTAATAAGTGTTCAAATAAAATAAATTACATGTGAAAATGGTAATAAACATGACATTGTATAAGTAAAGACATTGTCACCACAGGCTTTATTGAATTGCTCTAAAATCTTTTGGAATACTATTCATTCAATGTGAAGTAACTACAAATAAATCAATAAATATATAAATATAAACATACAAAGTAAAAACAGAACAACCTGACAGATTATTTAAAAATCCACACAAAGAGAAGATAATAAATATTTATAATTATACAGTCAATAAATAATAGATATTGCTGAAATTCAACATGAAATGTTCTCCATTTCTTTTATTCTGTTATCAAAATTTTAAAACTTGGAGTGTGTTTCATATAAAAACACATTTTACCAAATATCTTTTCTTTAAAGTCAAAATATTCCTGCTTTGACAAAATCCTGTAGATAAATTTGAGAACAGCTGAAATAATTTTACACGGGTGTCCTATTTTGTCGAAATGACAACTGAAAGAGCACTAAGTAAAGGGCAACCATTAAATACCGTGGCCAATTTCATTATGATAAAGAATTCACCAAATGTGCCTTAAAGCAAGCTGCTGAACCCAGCTCTTGTGTCAGTCACTGAATCATGTCCAAAAGTGAAAGTGAAAGTGAGCAATGAGGAAATTATGTCACCGTCTAAGCACAACACCATGTCCCTGAACTCTGAAATCCACGGAGGACGTCATCCCCAACTCTCCCTTCAATATATCATAAACCTGGGAACAGAATGAATAAAGTGTTTATAAAATAAACTGCAGTATTATTCATTACAAATAATATTTCAATGTATCTTAAAATATAATATCAAATATAAGATTTATAATATTTTAAAATTAATTTTTTATCCCGACTTAAAAGAATCACAAAACAAAGCAAATGAAAGTCAACCCTTTCAAGAACTTACTTGTAAACAATGACTGAAGTTACAGTAGACACTTATAGAATCTGGCTCAATCTGTAAAAGAAATTACCCATAAGCTGTGAATAAAAAAGTTACACTATTCTCTTACTCTGACATATAGATGGTATCTTTCTGGAAAGAAATTGACAGAAGACTACTTTTGATGACTATGAAAAACGTCTTTTCACACACACACACACAGTTTCTAAATAATTGTTGAAATCCTGAACCAAAGAGCATCATATTTTAATATTTTAATAAATATTTTAATATTTTAATAAACTTTATTTAATTAACTTAAAATTTTACACTGTAAAGATTTATCTCCTTATCAACACAGCATTACCATACAAATTTCTTCGCGTGTGTCACATGAATACCAAGAAAAAAATATTAAGCAAATTTTCAATCAAAGTTCTTACCAACACAGCGTTACAATGTGGAAGTTTCCCCTGGGATATAATACTGCTGATTTTGAGCCATGCTGAGTCCTGTGGTTCACTAGTGTTGCCTGGTCAATTAAGATATAGAAATCATGATTATTTCAGGATCATCTACTTCAAAACAACATCCACCACATTGCTTAATTTTTCTACATATAATCTATTAAGACATTAGTAATTTAGAAGCAGCTTTTATTCCTTGAATAGTCTGTTCCTTATACTTCAAATAAATTAGATTCCATGGCATACTACATTTAAATATTTGTTTGTATATATCAGCCCTCATAATCTATAAGATCTCTCTCTCTCTCTGTACAAGTGCATATATCATGCACATATATACTGTATATACCCTACCTGCCAGCCCACACACCACCTCTCTGCTCCTCCTCTGTGTGTGTGTGTGTGTGTATGTGTGCGTGTGTGCATGTGTTTGTGCATGTGTGTGTGTGTGTATGTGTGTTAGTGTGTGTGCGTGTATCAACCACACATATATCTCCTACCTGCCAGCCCACACACCACCTCCCAGCTCCCTCTCTGTGTAGGGTGCAAGTTGTACTGCCTGCTGGCTTGGGAGAGCTCTATGTCCAGGACACCTCCCAATTGCTGCCACTGCTGGGCCATGGACTGGCTCTGTGGTGAAGAACACCACCTCTGGAAATTATTATTATTAATATATAATAAATATAGCCATTTATTTCATATCATACTGGATAAGCATTGATTTTTTTAAACAGCTAGGCTGTGTCATAGTTGCTTTAAGATCAATTTATTTTAGAAAAAATTGTTGGTAAAATATTGGTTTTGCACATGGAAGATATTCACAACTGACCCCAGAAAAAAATTATTAATTCTCTTGTATTATAATTGTTTTACATTATGCTCATGTTTGATAAATGTTATTCAATTGCCTACACTGTGAATTTGGCACTTTCTACCCTAAAAAGGATTTGAAAAATAATTTAGTTGCTAAGTTAAAAAAAGAATAACTTGTTAGCTATCTAATCAGTTGTCTTATCCTTACTTTCTTTGTCAGAGAACCTTCCTCACTGGAGGAACCACCACTCTCAGACTCATCCTTCCTTCTCTTCCTTGACATTAGTTTCTTCACCAGGGGAGACACAGCTAGACGTGCTTTTTGCCTTTGATATAACTGCAGATGTGGTTTTGCTTTTGGTGTCCATGGTTTCTTAAAGTCTGTTAAATTAATGCCTGATTCTTGTTTAATTGTTTTGTGTAAAGTGCTTTCATCTTGATCATTTTTACTTTCTTCACTTGAGTTTTCCAACAGATGTTGATCGGGAGATGATTGTTTATTCTTTTGTGGATCCATTTTAAATTTGTCACCAGGGTGAGAACTATGGTGGTTTTCTTCTTTTAGTACCACCATTTTGTCCTTAAAACATCACTTCCCGGATGGGCTCTTGTCGGTTTGCATGAAGGTTACTACAGTAACATTACATGAGGGGATTCTGAAAATGGAACACATTTAGACCCCGTTCAGATTCAAATTCAGAGCTACTAGTGTATTGTTTGATACGCCTTCTTGCGTACTGTAGCTGAGGGGTAATTAACTTTAGTGAGAGCTGGGTTTAATTACCCCCTAACAGCTAGAGGAGGCGTCTCAGACATTAAAGCTGATCACACTGATTACACTTAGGGTGAATATCCAGCAGAGGGTACGATGGGTTTAAGAACTTAATCTGAACGGTCCGTTAGACTAGCAATAACACTGATCAGTCTTGAAAAAAAAGGGGTAATTTACTAGTAAATTAAAGAAAGAAATGCACTTGGATAAGGATAAAAAACTAAAATTGCACAGCTTATGGTTATAATAAAGCAATGTCAGTCCAGCTAGCCGTATTCTAGCACCAATAAAACAACAATATTTGAATTGAGAACTTGATGAATATTTTAGTCGGAAATTCACTTAGAGAAAAGATTTAGACTAGCACTTCGACTCGTCGTGTTCTCGGCGTTATTCCTTACCGTTGCTATCACTGGGATTCCCAGGTACAACAGCTTAACCATAGATCTGAAAATAAAATTGAACGTTAACTTGCTAAAATTCTATTCCGCCGGCGCCATTCGTAAACATTGTAAATTTCCTTCCTTCACTGCTGAAGATCGAGAGCGCTTTCTCATCATCAAGACACAACGTTTGATTTCTTTACAAGTAATTTTTAAAGTTTTTCAACAATTCGATTAAAATAAAAGAAACAAAAGGCAAAATTACAAAAATCAGAAAACGCATAAATTTGTTATTTCATGTATTTATTTTAATTAATATTTGAATTTTATTCATCAACACTGTATCTTGTTCTAATCACCCAGGGGGCCGTGTATTTAACATAATTTACCCTCTTTGAATAATGTTTATTGTTTTTTTATTTAAAATAAAAAAGTGTTTTAAAAAGTTTTTATTAAAATTTTTTAAAAAGTGTTTGAAAGAGAAAAAAAAAATTAATTAATTTTCACAAGTCCTCTCAAAACCAGCATTTTATTGAATGTCAGTTAATTTCATTCAGTCTGTACAGAGATAAAAAGTTAAGTTTATTTTGAAAAGACTATGTAACTGTTACAGTGAAAACAGTATAAAGCTCACATTAGAAAACTCAAAAAATTAAATTGAACTTCCACACTTCAAAAAATTAGGGAAAAATACAAAATAATCGTAATATAATATTACTTCATGTAATACCAATCAGATCCATCACATACAGTAAATCTCAAGTGGAGTTAGCCATAGTAAGTAAAAATAGTATCTAATACTCAAATAACCAAATAGAAAACAGAAAAATATAGTCTTAAATCCACAGTTAATGTTATGTTTAACAGGAATTTGGTAGAGAAAATGCACAGTGCATTATAAGGAGTACTGTATGTTTGTTAACTACAGTATATATACTGTAGGTATGGTCAGGCAGTAAGTTGATTTCATCAGTTTTATTCAACCTACTCAAATAGGTTTTAATCCCATTTACTACCATTCTTTTAATTAACCCATTCACAGTGTTACAGTCGCTATGACTGCATTCCCATAAACCCATAGTACTAGCTGGATCGATCTAACTCTGTGGGGCATCTTGCTGAAGTGCTTTCAGTATAGTCAGCTAAATTGTCTGGCACGTCCTCCTGAGTCTTTGACTATCATTAATTACCCCCTAGTTACTTAAGTAGGCACGCCTGACATTTAAGTCACTATAGTTTACACTGAATGCAATTCAGCAAGAATCCCTGCAAATTTAGGTCGAACCAGGTAATACGATGGGATTATGGGAACATTCCAAATGACTGAAATCACAACAGGTCACATGAGCATGACAATATACAAAATATCAAAATCCAGATTATCAATCATTAACTATTGTATTTTAATTCCTCTGTATAAAGCATATCTGAAGACCATATATAAATATTCATCTGAAATGAAATTATAAATATATACTCAGTTGAAATAAGGGTGCATTGTCACAACCAATAAATACTCATCAAGAATTAATTAAGGGCCTATAATACATAATATTTGTTAACAAATTAAATAAATTTCAAATTCATAACACTGCTTAGTGATAGCAATGCCTTTGGCATTTTTCCTTTCTTATTTGGTAACTCTATATAATAGACAAAAATCACAGTTGACAATCAGTAGCGAAATAAAGGTATTACATGCTGAGTGGGGCCAGACGAGAAATAGCTGGGTTTTAAACTTG